GAGTTCAGGGTAGAGGGCCGCTGCTGTAGAATAATCCCTTTGTACACTGAAGAGTTTTCCATGTGACTGGTTTGATAAACAAGCTGACTGGTCTGTAGCTGAACAGAATAAGGTTAGGTGAGAGAGCCAAACTAAGAATGCTGAGAAGGATAAGGGTGGAGCCAGGGGTCGCCAGCCAACCGCAGAGGGAGCAGGAGATGAACGTGCTAATAAAGGTACCGCATGTGGCAGAGCATAAATAAGTAATATGGGTTAACTTAAAATGTAAGAGCTAGTTAGTAATAAGCCTGAGCTGTTGACCGAGCATTTGTAATTAATATAAGCCTCTCCTCTGAGTGATTATTTGGGACCGGGCAGTTGGGACAGGAAACTTCTGAATACAGGCTAGGTCTACCAGCCACACCCTTAAAAGATAGGGACTGGGGGGCTGGAGAGATGGCTCGGTGGTTAAGAGCATTGCATGCTCTTCCAAAGGTCCTGAGTTCAATTCCCGGCAACCACATGGTGGCTCACAACCATCTGGAATGAGGTCTGGTGCCCTCTTCTGGCCTGCAGACATACACACAGACAGAATATTGTATACATAATAAGTAAATAAATATTTAAAAAAAAAAGATAGGGACTGAAGTGTTGGTGGACATTCCCGCCAGTTCCGAAATAACTGACACAGACAATATGAATTTTAAATGCTTAGCTGATAGCTCAGGTTTATTACTAACTAGCTCATATGATTTAAATCAACCCATTGCTATTAATCTAGGTGCTGACCTGAGGCTCCTGGCTTTTACCTCTCCTGCATATCCTGCTTTCTCTCTCTCTGGCTCAAGACTCCTCAGACTTCCCAGCATCCTCCTAGGACAACTCTTCTGCCCGATCTCTTCCTGCCCAGCTATAGGCCAGTCAGCCCTTTATTAACCAATGAGAGTAGTACATATTTACAGTGAACAAAGATCGTTGCACAGCACTGACGGATGCTAGGAGAACTTGGTGGCCAGGTCTGCTCTGATTTGTTAAGTAGACATCTCAGTCATGTGCCCTAGGGTTTGAGACTTAGCATTCATTGGCCAGAAAGCTGTGTTGTCTCAGCTCCACTTCAGTTCTTGATGGTGGTGCAGAGATTTCAGGAGTGTGAGCTTCTCTGAGTGTTGCCCTCAAACCTATTGTCATGGTCACTGCAGCCGCCCCACCTCTCTTGGGCTTACCATTATTTTCCCTTGGCTTTGTTTTATGCCATAGCAGATAGCCAGCTTTTTGAGCCTGGTCCTCAAAATAATTCTCCCTTTGTTTGTTTGTTTGTTTTTCTTTTTTGGAATGAGGGGCCCTGACTCCTGCTACACAAGCATTCTGCCATTTATCTACAACCTCAGCCATATTTTGTTGTTGCATTGAGACAGGGTCTTGCTAAGTTTCCCAGACTGGCCTGAAACTTGAGATCCTGCCTCATTTTCTCAAGTGATGCATAGTGGTGTATGTGTTTTAATAAATAAAGCTTGCCTGAAAATCAGAGTTCCAAGCAGCCACACAAGTCAGCCATACAGGCCAAGCAGAGGTGGTGAATGTCTTTAATCCCAGCACGAGAGAGGAATATAAAACGGGAGGAGACAGCTCTCAGTCTCAGTTTGAGGATCCGTGGAGGCAGGCGCCCATTTTAGTCTGAAGGAGAGGTAAAAGGTCGTGGCTGGCTGCTTTGCTTTTCTGATCTTCAGCTTGAACCCCAGTATCTGCCTGTGAGCTCGTACAGAGCCTCTGGGTTTTCATTATTCATGCTACATAAGGCTGTCAAGGGATGCAGAATGGATTCATGGTCTTTGCCAATTAAAGAATTAAAAGGCAAGAATAATGTATTGCCACAAATCTTGGGAAATCTCTATGGAGCCGGCTTATGATCCTGATGAAATTACTAAAATAATTTAAGAATGGTCCGGGCGGTGGTGGCGCACACCTTTAATCCCAGCACTCGGAAGGCAGAGGCAGGCAGATCTCTGGGGGTTCGAGGCCAGCCTGGTCTACAAGAGCTAGTTCCAGGACAGGCACCAAAGCTACAGAAAAACCCTGTCTCGAAAAACCAAAAAAAAAAAAAAAAAAATTAAGAATGGGTTCAAACAGAAGCTTGAGGATGGTGTAGTCGAGTTTAGAAGGAAGACCCCAGGACAGGCACGCTGTCCATCTAAACGCTGTCTGGAGGGAGAGAATGGCTGCACAGAGGTCAGCGCCCTGCAGGCAGCCACACAGTGCGAAGAATTGGCCTTATGGTGGCAGAGATCAGGTCAGCACCTGGCCACTGACACACACAAAGGCGCGGGTCAGTGGACATGGGTCAGCGCATGCACACAGTGGCTGCAGAGGTCAGCTGCAGTGGTCAGCACATACTGGCTTTAGGAAAGGAGACTTAGAGTTAGGGAGTTTAAAGATTGATTTATTATGTACAGTGTTCTGCCTGCACCTGTCCGTGCAGGCCAGAAGAGGGCGCCAGATCTCATTACAGATGCTGGTGAGCCACCAGGTAGTTGCTGGGAATTGAACTTAGGACCTCTGGAGGAGCAGTGCTCTTAACTGCTGAGTCATCTCTCCAGCCCCACATTAGAGAATTTAAATGCATAGATTCTGAGCAGCATCAGGAAGAAAAAGGAAAAATTCTGCCTTTTTGAGCCAGGGACTGCACAAAGGGGCAGCCACTCCAGTAAGGAGAAGCACACCTTCTCAAGGTGAAGCTGCCTTCCTGGGGTGTCCCCTAGCCGTGACTCCAAGCTGCCACACTGGGTTAACCCTAAGTAAAGAGACAAGGGCATGCGTCCACCTAAGGTAGATTTCATTCTTTATAAAAGTCCCTGGGATTTGTGTCCAGCACCCTCTGTGAATCTTGGAGCACATGGCTGACAAGTTGTCCCTGTCTGTTTCTGTCCATCACTCCAGGTTGCTACACCTCCAAAGCTGAGGGAGCTAGCTCTGCCTCTTCCCTTTGCAGACAGTGAAAAGCCAGGTCGTTCTAGAATTCCTAAAGATTTCTTCCTGAATCATTAAACGACATCAAACATTTGCTCAAGTACAGTGTTATCTACATGGCTTAACAATTTTAAAAATTAAAAACAAATCAGGCAATGGTTGGCACACACCTTTTATCCTAGCACTTGGGAGGTAGGGAAGCAGAGGCATGTGGATCTCAGTGAATTCGAAGCCAGCCTGGTCTACAAAGCGAGTTCCAGGACAACCAGGGTGGTTACACAGAAAATCTTTTTTTTTTTTTTTTTTTTTGGTTTTTCGAGACAGGGTTTCTGTGTGGCTTTGGAGCCTGTCCTGGAACTAGCTCTTGTAGACCAGGCTGGTCTCGAACTCACAGAGATCCGCCTGCCTCTGCCTCCCAAGTGCTGGGATTAAAGGCGTGCGCCACCACCGCCCGGCTACACAGAAAATCTTGAAAAAACAAAACAAACAAATAAATAAATAAATAAACAAACAACAAAACATATCCACTGTCATTGTAAGAATGTCCAGTATATAAGATTTGAACCTGTAATGGAGGTCAACCAATGTATGTGGGGTATCCAATGTCTTTTATCTCGTTATATAGGAAGGAAAGCAAGTGTGTATCCTGCCTGGGTTTGCACGAAGTCCTGAGAGGTGCCAAATGAACTGGCCCTTCCCTGTAGGCAGTAGGGATGGGACCAGGTGAGGACTAGTCTCCCTCCTTTCAGCTGGTAAAGATATTCATTAAAAACTTAGGAGGGGCAGGTGAGGGGGCTCAGCAGGTAAAGGTGCTTGCCGCACACTTGATCCATCCCTGGGCCCAGATGCTAAGGAAAGAACGGACTCCAGCAAGCAGTCTCCTCTGACCCTCCGAGTGCACGGACTCCAGCAAGCAGTCTCCTCTGACCCTTCGAGTGCATTCTCTGGTACAGTTTGAGATGCACAGACAAGAAATAAATGTAAATAAAAAAGTAAAAACCCAGAATAAAATTACATAATCTAAATAACCCATGTAAAATGCATTGGAGATGTCAGCCTTGTTCTACCATGCTGCAGCAGGGCTTTTGTTTGTGTGCGTGTGGTGCCCATGGAGGTCAGACGGAGGGCACTGGATTCCCCCGGAACTGGAGTTACAGGCTTTTATGAGTCTCCCCATGTGGGTGCCGGGAAATGAACCTGTGTCCTCTGCAAAAACGGCCTTGAGCTGCCTGAAGTTAGGAATGTTGTCTTTATCAGTACTAGTCAGCCCTTTGTGTTGGCCAGAGCATCTTCTTCGATGGGCAGATGAAAAAAACCATGTCTACACAATTCAGGTTCTCTAATGAGCAGGGCTGGTAAAAAAATCAATCTCACTATATTTGTTGAAAGTGGATTTATTAGAGTGTATCACAAGCTGCCTCTCCAGCTCCAGAAGTGCAGTGAAAAACCAAAACTCTTGTGATCCCATGGACAGGGTGAGCAGGCCTGGGGGAGCGGGACAGGCCTGGTGTGATTTGGATCGGAATATTAGCAGGTCAGAGGCAAAAAGAGGGGGGTGTCACAGTAAGGGGCAAGAAGGGAAACAGCGCTGGGCTGCGGTGCCTTTAGCCTTCCATTCGGGAGGCAGAGGCAGGTAGATCTCTGTGAGTTCAGCCTGGTCTACAAGAGCTAGTTCCAGGACAGGCTCCAAAGCTACAGAGAAACCCTGTCTCGAAAAACCAAAAAAAAAAAAAACAACAAAAAACCCAAACCAAAGATGACCTTGAACTTTGGCCCCCGTCTCGCAAGTACTAGGATTACAAACAAGTGTGGGCAACCACGCCGGGCTTTTATTTTCTCTTCTCTTTTGTCTGCATGGGGCGGGGGGGGGGGGGGGGGGGGGGGGAGGCGGTCACGCTCTAGCTGAGCGTGGCCTCGAACTCGCGGCCATTCTCACGCCTTGGCGTCTAAAGGTCGCGGTGGCAACGCAGTCCATCCTCCCCCCCCCCTTCCCATCTCGCCGGGATGGGCCCGACCGGATGTGACGCACCCCTAGGCGGAAGCGAGCAAACTGCGCAGCCTCAGCGCGGGCGGCGCGCATGCGTGCTGGCGGTCTGCATTGCGAGTCTGTCTGTGTGACTGGGCCTGGCGTGGGTTTGCTGCGTGACTGACCGAGGCTTCGCGTGGGTGGAGGAGGCGCGGGTGCAGGTCAGCGCCCGGGAACAGAGAGGCCGGCTTGTCCGCGCGCTGCCCGGGGAGGGTCCCGGCCGGGCGGGCTGGGGGCGGCGGCCGCGGTGCATGCCGGGCCAGAGCTCTGCACGGAGTTGTGGCTTGGACTTAAAGTGCAGGGAAAACACGCGAAAAGGGCTCCGCAGAGGCGTCTAGCTGCGGCTGTCCACAGGGTTGACTCCGTCTCTCTTCATCATTAACAGTGTGGTCAGATTGATCTCCCCAACCTGGTCCCGAGTTTTTAGTACCGCTTATTGGAACAATAACAACAAAAACCCCCAAAAATGTACAAGTTTCCAGACTGTGTATTCATTTCTGTGACCCGTGAAATGTAGGTTTTTTTTTTCTTTTTTGAATCAGTTCTTCACGGCCCATTATGTGACCTGCCTTTGTAAGAAATTGGACTTAAAAAAGCACAGTAAAGGAAAATCCAAACACTACTAACATATGTTAGCCATCCCTGCTTTCTGTTTTTAAAAATTTTTTGGTGTGTTTTTTTCCTGCGTGCATATACGTGCAGTGCCCGCAGAAGCCGGAAGAGGGCGCCGGATCCCCTAGAACTGGCGTTAGGGACAGTTGTGAGCTGTCACGGTGCTAGGAACTAAACCTTGGTCCATCCCTGCAGGCCAGCTACCCTGTTTTCACCCAGAATTAGCGATTGAACGTCTACCATGTAAAGCAGTGTTAACCTAAACTGCTTGCTTTCGTTTGTCCCGGCCTGTTCCCAGGAAGCTGTTCACACTGCTTGAACAGTGGCTATTACATTGGCAACTTTTTAAACAATTTTTTTTTCTTTTTTAAGTCTTTAAGAATTAGAAATGGCTTCCAAAAGAGCTCTGGTCATCCTGGCCAAAGGCGCGGAGGAGATGGAGACAGTGATTCCCGTGGATGTCATGCGCCGAGCTGGGGTGAGTCTCCCTTATGCGCTAGCCTGTCATTTTTACTTGTTTACTGTACTCGAGCCTGCGTCCTGGGGTCCTGGGGTGCAGATGTGGAGGACTGAGGGTGAATTGTATGAGTTGGCTCTCTGTCCACCATGGGTCCAGGGAATAAAGCTAAGGTCTCCTCAGGCTTGGAGGCCAGTGCCTCTTTTGCCAGCCCTACTTTGTGAACTATTTCAAGTACAAAGCTACAGTGATTACATAGTAAAACATTAGTTTGTTCTCTGCTCACTTTTTTTTTTGTTTTTGAGCTAGAGGCTCACCCTCTCGACCAGGCTGGCCTGGAACTTACCACGTAACTCAGGATGGCTTTGAATTCTTGGCAGTTCTCCTGCCTCAGCTTCCCAAATGTCTGGCTCACTGCTGACTTTGAAAACTTGTAGTACCAGCCGGGCGATGGTGGCGCACGCCTTTAATCTCAGCCCCGGGTGTGTGTTTACAGTCAGCCCCGCGCACACTGTGACCAGAGCTCAGCCCCGGGTGTGTGAGCCCCGGGTGTGTGTTTACACTCAGGTCTGCACACACTGTGAGCAGAACTCAGCCCCGGGTGTGTGTTTACACTCAGCCCCGCACACACTGTGACCAGAGCTCAGCCCCGGGTGTGTGTTTACAGTCAGCCCCGCACACACTGTGAGCAGAGCTCAGCCCCGGGTGTGTGTTTACAGTCAGCCCCGCACACACTGTGACCAGAGCTCAGCCCCGGTGTGTGTTTACACTCAGCCCCGCACACACTGTGTGAGCAGACCTCAGCCCCGGTGTGTGTTTACAGTCAGCCCCGCACACACTGTGTGAGCAGAGCTCAGCCCCGGGTGTGTGTTTACAGTCAGCTCTGCACACTGGAAGGCCAGCGTCCTCTTTTCATGCTGCTGTACAGTGCTCTACAGTGTGGAATACCACCGCCTCCTCACTCCAGTTATAGCCTGTGCTGCTGGATATTTGAGATTTTCAACTTTTTTCTGTGTGTGAATGTTTGCCTGCATGTAAGTCTGCACTGCATGTGTGCTTGGTACCCGAAGAAGCCAGAAATTGTGCCTGATGCCCTAGAACTAGAATTATAGGTGGTTGTGAGCTGCCATGTGGGTGCTGGGAACCAAATCCAGGTGCTCTTAACCATTGAGCCATCTCTCCAGCCTCTGCAATAAGCAAGCATGAGGACGGCTTTTGAGGCTCAGCACCTAAACATGGGATTGCTGGACCAGGACTGTTATGGTCAGTGTTGCTAAATTTTGCAAGCTCGTCTTCAGTGAGCTGACCTGTGACCTCCCAGCACTGTAGGAAACGTCCGTGTTTTGGGTACTAGCTCCTGGTAATGTCCCCTAATGAGTGTTCTGGAGGATAAAGTATTGTTTATTTGTTTGGTTTTCATTTCTACTTTTGGAAAAGGTCTTGAGATTTAAATGACAACGGTAGCTTAGCAAGATGGGTTATTAATAGGGTGACCCTGTAATTCATCTCCCAAACTCAATGTGTGTGGGGTAAAGCGTGTCCTAGCCAGTCAGAACTGGGGCAACGGCTCAGCTACAAGTTAGGACTGTCTCAGGCAAAACAGAAGAGACCAGTATTAAATATATTTGGCCATTGCCTCGACTTGGCTTTGTGGTATTCCCTGACTAGTTACTTAGAACCACGGAATGGGTATAAATGTTGCCCGTGTCTGTGTATCTTCATGGTCTTGAGCATCTGTTCTTTTCCTAGATTAAAGTCACCGTTGCAGGCTTGGCTGGGAAAGACCCCGTGCAGTGTAGCCGTGATGTAATGATTTGTCCTGATGCCAGTCTTGAAGATGCAAAAAAGCAGGTTTGTTTTGTACATGTGGACTGTTCCTTCTCTGGGGGCTTATTACTTTTTTTTTTTTGAAATGCCTTTTGGTTGTATCTATGACTATAGTTAGAGCAGACGTAATTCAAGAAAATGATTCTGGCTGGTGGCGGTGGTGGCACACACCCTTAATCCCAGCACTCGGGAGGCAGAGGCAGGCAGAAATGTGAGTTTGAGGCCAGCCTGATTTGTAAAGCAAGATCCAGGACAGCCAGGCTACATAGAGAAACCCTGTCTCAACAAACAGAAAGAATTAAAGAAAATGATTGTACCTGAATGAGAATGGCTGGATCCTGTGTCCGATAAGTGGGTGGTGTGGGTGGGGGAGCAGGAGGGAGCAGGGTAGTGGCGGCTGAGTGGGAGCATTGTTCTTCCTTGGTATTTTCTCCCAGAGGCCTCCTTGCCTTGTAAGTAGCCTACCATATTTTCCATTTTCTTTTCTCAGTACTGGTAGTTGAACCTCGGGCCTTCCATGTCAGGCGAGCTCTCTGCCACTGACTTCTGTCCTCCTAACCTCTCCCCCTTGTTAAAGGTTTGTTTTGAGACAGGGTTTTGGAAATGGCACTGGTGGTGGCCCAGGTGGCCTGACTGTGACCTCTGTCGTCTGGGTCAAGGGCCCGGCTCCTGTCCTTTTCTTCCTGTTCGAATGACCTGTGTGGAGGGATGCACACTTGAGTAGTTGGGTTGAGGGTGAGGTGAGAGCGCTCCTTAAACTGTTGCCTTCTCTGTTTTTATGGTGATGGGGGACTATTGGTTATCACTTTCCTCATCAGCGTGCCTGCCCATTGACCCTCAGCTACTACCAGAGGTCAGAGGTCATGACTCAGGGTGATAAGAGATGGGCTGTGCCCTGGTGAGCAGAGACGTGGCAGCAAAGGCAGGAAAGGCATGAGTGTAATTCCCCACGCTGTCCCCAGTGGAGGGCCGTGCATTCCTCTCTAAGAAGTTACAGTATTTCCAGGCTGGAGAGATGGCTCAGGGGTTAAGAGTACTGGCTATTTTTCCAGAGGTCCTGGGTTCAATTCCCAGCAACCACATGGTGGCTCACAACCATCTATAATGGGATCAGATTCCTTCTTCTGGTGTGCATGAAGACAGAGCACTCATACATAAAATACATGAATAAATAAATCTTTACAAAAAAAGAGACTATTTATGTGTGAGTGTGTGTCTGTCTGTGTTAGTACCCACAGAGATCAGAAAAGGGTGCTGGGTCCCCTGGAGCTGGAGTTATATGGAGTTGTGAGCCACCATGTGGGTGCTGGGACCCAAACTGCAGCCCTCCAGGAGCAACAGGGGTTCTTAACTGCTGAGCCATTTCTCCAGCCCTCATAGCTGCATTTTTTTTTTTACAATGTTCCTCCATAGGGATATGCCTTAATTTATTTGTTTGATATCTGGTGATTTTTGTTGTTTTGAGACAGGGTCTTATGTATACTTGGCTGGCCTCAAACTTAGTGTGTAGTGGAGGGCACCCTTGAACCCTTGATCTTCCTGCTCTGCTTCCTCCTTCTGATGGCACCACTATGCCTTATTATTTTTAGTGTTGAAGAATCAAACCCAGGGTCTCACTTGTGCTAAGAGTGTGCTCAAGCTCTGTCTAGAGCTGCTTGTGTGCATAGCCCCACCCCTGAGGCACGTGCGCTGTTCTGTGCAGATAGTGCATCCTCAGATACGAAGCTACTCCTGGGCTCGCATTAACACAGTAGAAGTAAAACGTTCCCTTTTGTTTCCCAATTCACAGGGACCGTACGACGTGGTGGTTCTTCCAGGAGGCAATCTGGGTGCACAGAATTTATCAGAGGTAAGCTGCTCAGTCATGCCTCAGTGAGGGGCTTACGGGAAAGTCTTGCATCTTCTACTCTGTTCTGTCATGTTTGATCTGGTGTGCCGAGGGATCGTGCTGCAGACGTAGCAGAAGCAGCCAAGGTTAGCTGAGGTTAGCCGAGTGGCCTCTAACATTGCCGAGGGCCGTTCTAGGAACATTTACTGCAGACTCAGTAAAAAAATCGAGGTTAGCTGAGGTTAGCCGAGTGGTGTCTAACATTGCAGAGCACAGTTCTAGGAACATTTACTGTAGATGCAGGAGAAGCAGCGGAGGTTAGCCGAGTGGTGTCTAACATTGCAGAGCACAGTTCTAGGAACATTTACTGCTGAGTAAGTTGAAATGGGGCGGCTGCTGCAGATAGGCTCAGTGCATGTAGACTAGTGTGAGCTGCGAATGTCCAGCTGCAGATAGGCTCAGTGCATGTAGACTAGTGTGAGCTGCGAATGTCCAGCGGCTGCTGCAGATAGGCTCAGTGCATGTAGACTAGTGTGAGCTGCGAATGTCCAGCTGCAGATAGGCTCAGTGCATGTAGACTAGTGTGAGCTGCGAATGTCCAGCGGCTGCTGCAGATAGGCTCAGTGCATGTAGACTAGTGTGAGCTGCGAATGTCCAGCTGCAGATAGGCTCAGTGCATGTAGACTAGTGTGAGCTGCGAATGTCCAGCTGCAGATAGGCTCAGTGCATGTAGACTAGTGTGAGCTGCGAATGTCCAGCTGCAGATAGGCTCAGTGCATGTAGACTAGTGTGAGCTGCGAATGTCCAGCTGCAGATAGGCTCAGTGCATGTAGACTAGTGTGAGCTGCGAATGTCCAGCGGCTGCTGCAGCAAAATGGGCTCAACCTAGAAGGTGTTGCCTGCTTGTCATCGGGTCAGGGGCTGCTGTGGGGCCGGAGGTGGCCTCTGTGCTTCCTCTCAAGCCCTGTGTCAAGAGTCCCATGGGAAGGCAGCACAGGACAGGGTTCAGTGCCCTGGTGACATTGCTTTCCTTGCTCATCCTTATTGAGGTGGCCTTTCTCTGGGGGGAGTGCTGTTGCCCAGGCTTGGGAACACAGGCGCGTGGGGAACCTGTCACTTCCGTGTTAATGATTGGAGCTCTTTCTGGAAAGCTGCTGGAAGGAAGCTAAGCCGAGAATGACTCTCCCAGCTCTTGCAGGAGGCTCTGTGGCTCAGTGGTGACCGAGTGTGTGTGTTCTCTCTAGTCGCCTGTGGTGAAGGAGATTCTGAAGGAGCAGGAGAGCAGGAAGGGGCTCATAGCTGCCATCTGTGCAGGTGAGTGCGTGCGGGTGTGGAGAGGGAGCTCCGAGGGGAAGCCTGACCGCACACAGCTGGCCTTCAGTGCCGCAACGTCACAACATTGCAGCTGAGCGAGATTGTTTCTGTCTCTCTGTGCTCTGGGCCTCTGTTCTGGGAAACTCACCGTTTTCCCTGTTTGCTGACCTGGAGGACAAGACCTCTGGTGTCCAGCAAACCGCTTGTTCCAGCAGAGCCTGTGTCAGCAATTCGGATTGCCAGGAGAGTCAGCACGAATCTGTGGCCTGAACACCACAGCTTCGGCGGGGCTCTCCTGCCTCCGGCTTGCTGAGTCTTTGCTTGAGTGCTCTTGAACACCCGTGGCTTCAAATAAGGTCTTCTTGGATTTCAGACGTGTCCTGAGCCATGAACCGTAATCGCTTGCTTTTCTGGAAACCCATTCCTGCTGCCCTAATATCAGATGATGTTCTGGCCTCTGGGTCAGTGCGACTTTGCCAGTGTCTGCCTGTTGGGTGCCTTTCCCGTGTGTCACAGAACAGGTGAACCCGTGACTAAAGGGTGGATGGTTTTGTTTGGGGACAGTCTATCGTGCAGGAGCTTCTGCACCTGTTCTGTTCACTTCTTACTGGAATGACATCAGCCTGTCGAGGCCATCCTTCAGGCAAGGCATCATGCCGTAGTCTCCTGTTGTAAGTTTTCCCAGTTCTGGGCTGGCCGTGGAGACCATGCCTGTAATCCTAGCACAGGGGATCTAGAAGTAGGTTCATGAGTTCAAGACCACCCTGAGCTACATAGTGGAGCCTCTCTTCAAAGAAGAAAAGAAAGGGGGAAGCATAATTGGGGGACGTTCTAAATGTTCCCACTTTGGGGCCAGTAGAGTAGCTCAGGTGTAGACTGTGTGCCTCACATGTGTGGGGCTCTGGGTTCCATTCCCAGCACCAAAGACAGACAGGCAGAACCATTCTCAATCTCTGATGTGACACAGCAATGGGCATCATCTGTGTAGAAGTTCAGAGGCCCCACACTGTGTGCTCGAGCCATCACAGAGCCAGTGGGAGCTCTTAGGCACTGCCCTGGGCACCTTGTCCTGGCTCCTACGCTCTGATTCCCTGCCGTGCTGAGGCCCAGGGGTGTTGTTGGTTGATGGTCCTGCGATCCCTGCAGCCTTGACCTGTCTTGGGGCAGGGAGTCACAGGTGGGCTGGTGTTCTTCACTGATCTGCGACATTGGCCTCCTTAGGGTTTCCCTGGCTTTGTTCCCTCCGATTTGACTGAAGCTAAAGTGTGGTGTCATCTTGTTTTTCTGTGTCACTGAGTAGAACATGATCAGCCTTAGCTGGGTCACCGCTTGTGCTGAGGCAAGCTGAATGAGGCCTTCCTGTGGACCAGATTGTTACTGAAAAGGAAACAGTGCTAGCAGTGTGCTCACCGCATTGGCTGTCCTGGGTCACAGCCTGAATAGTGAGCAGAGAGAACAGGAGTAGCTCGGCCAGGGAATGAAGCAGAGGTCAGGCCGTCTGGTGCTTCGGTCAGGAATCAGTACCGTGTTTGAACTCCACAAACACAGTTGTTTTGTTAGCTTTGCCCTTGATGATGCTAAGTAAAAGAAGAAGTCACCGTCAGGGAGGCTTTCCTGGAAGGAAATACAGGAGCTTTTCTTTGAGTAAGGGAGAAAAGGAAGCTTGCAGGTAGAGGAGTCCTGTCAGTGTAAGAATAGTTCAGGGTACCCTAGGAGCTCCCGCTGGCTGGCTGTTCTTTTTCCAGTGTCCACCAGGTGGCGCTATAGGAAGAGGCATTCCCAGAGCTAACTTTATCAGTCTCGGATAATGGCAGTAGTAATAAGTCTGTCTTGTCTTAATTTTCAAATTTTCTGCACCCCCCCCCCCCGGAAATCAGTAGTTAGGAGCTTACCATGAGGAAGGCATGCCCTGTTGCATGAAGCAACAGGGTCACTACCACCAGGGGAGCAGCCTTGAGACACAGCCTGAGACCTGACTGGTCTAGCCATGCTCTTCCCTCAAGGTCAGCGGCTGAAGCTTGCTGCCAAGTGGAGGGTGACGTAGGATTCTCTGTTCAGGTCTTAGCTAGTAAGGATCTGAGAGGTACACATGAATCCCCTCACATAAAAGTGGATGGTAACTGGACATGGAGGGGGCACACCGTTAGTCCCAGATCCTTGGAAGCAGAGGCAGGCAGATCTCTGAATTTTGAGTTTGAGCCAGCCTGGTCTACATGGTGAGTTCTGGCCAGCCAGGGCTACAAAGGGAGACTTTTGTCTTAAAAAATATTGAGTGGTAATTATTCCATTTTTCTAGACTTTGGAAATTTTCTGTCCTCCACAGCTGTCTTGTGTAGAGAAGGGCGTGTATGTGATGCTTAGACTCAAGAGGTTACTCTGGGCTTGGTCTGAATCTGAGGCCTGGACGGTGGCTCTTTGTGCCAGTTCCTGCTGTGGCAACTGTGGCGCTTGGCTGTGTGTCTAGAGCTCTTGTTCTGAAGGAGTCAGGGCTGAGGGAGCGGGAGAGTCAGTCAGCGGCCGAGTAAGAGCTCGCTGACGGGTGAGGTTAGGTGTTGATTTTGTCTTCCTGTGATGAGGCTTAGAGGGGACAGACAGAAAAAACTAGGTTTTAAGAGGGTGGTGGCAGGCGAGGGTCGTTTTTCAGTCTCTGTTGCAGACTCTTAGACACAGTGTCTGCTGTGAGCATCAGTGAAACTGGCCGTTTTCAGTGAGTACTCGGGGCTTATGGTAAGAGGCGGGGCCTCCCTCAGGTATCATGGACTGACAGTGTGCATGGTTTTCCACATTGGTGGTTTCAGAAGGACCCCGTCTCAGATGTCAGTCCAGGAATCTCCTGCAGAGTACATGTTGGCCTCCATCTTGGCCCTGCCAGCTGGTGCGTGTCTGGTTGAGTGGCCTAACTTATACTTGGAGTGCAGAAGAGCAGCTGTGAAACAGCCGCAAGTGTGCATGTTTTCACCCCATGTCTCTGCCACAAAACTAACTCTTTCCTTCAGAAAGAGTCAGGCAGGAGCTGGAAGGACAGACAGCAGTCAACAGACAGGCATGGTGGCCCACAACCACATGCACCTCCAGTTCCAGGGGAGCCAACCGTGCATGACATACTGCAGGCAAAGCGCCATGCATGTAAAGATCGCAAGGGAAAAAAGGAGGACGGCAAGAGTTTATTCAGCAGGGCAGCCCCTCCCCTCTGCACTCGGGAACATTGATCCCTGCTCCTGCGGGTCGTTTGTCTCTGCTCTGCCACACTGAGGGACGTCTTACAGCTGTTGAAGCATTCAGAAGTTGTGCACCTCGGCAGATGTGCTGAGCACAGGCTCACCATGGCCACACCCTCGCGTGTGTGTTTGAACAGTGTTGTTCAGAGTCATAACTCTATAGTCCTGATTGGCCTGGGACTCACAGATCCTCCTGCCTCTGCTTCCCGAGCCCTGGGATTCAGTGTGTGCGCCACCGTGCCCAGCAGTGTTGCGGGTTTAAAGCCCGGGTTTTCTGTTTGCACACTCATCTTCTTTTTGTCTTCTAGGTCCTACAGCTCTGCTGGCTCATGAAATTGGTTTTGGAAGCAAGGTCACAACACACCCAGGGGCTAAGGACAAAATGCTGAATGGAAGTAAGTGTGCCCCTACTTCCCACGGGAAGATCTTCGAGACCTATCTGGGGGAGAGCGCTGTGACGCCCAGCTGCTCAGGAGCTCCCTGCCTGTGTGCTGCTTTCCCTTCCCTCGGTGTGCTTCTCGGCTGGGGCAGGGCACGTGCCAGTCTGTGTGGAGGCACCAGATCCCTGACTGTCAAATGGGACGGAGTTGAAATGCCAGTTTAATTTTTATTTTTACTGAATGTCTTAACAGCCACCCAAGGGTGTTGTAGGTAAGCCACTTGTTGCTTCCTGGCTGCTCAGTCCAAAATAACCACACAGAAACTGTATTAATTAAATCACTGCTTGGCCCATTTGCTTTAGCTTCTTAGTAGCTAACTCTTACATATTAATTTAACCCATCTCCATTAATCTGTGCATCGCCATGAGGTCATGGCCTTCCAGCAAAGTTTCAGCACATCTGTCTCTGTCAGAGGATACATGGCGTCTCTCTGACTCCACCTCTTTTCTCTCAGCATTCAGCTTAGCCCCACCCCAGCTCTGTTCCCCTATAGCAGAGCTATAGGCCCAAAACAGTTTCTTTATTAACCAATGATATTCACAGCATACAGAGAGGTATCCCACATCACAAGGGTAGAATTTAAACCCTGATGATAGTTTCAACAAATGTCCTTTTACCACAGTGCAACAGACCCTCAGGGGACGTCCTAAGTGGCAGACTAGCTTCTTTGGTGACATGTTTCTTTATTTAATTCTTGTTTTGTTTTTCAAGACAGGGTTTCTCTGTGTACCCTGGCTGTCCTGGAACTCACTCTGTAGACCAGGTTGGCCTCAAACTCACAGAGATCCACCTGCCTCTGCCTCCGGAGTGCTGGGATTAAAGATGTGAGCCACCATACCTAGCTGAATTTTATTAAATTTATAAAAGCAATTCTTCTTCATGAGGAAGCTTGCAGACAGGCGGGTGAAGTGAGGTTAGCTCCTCCCCCTCCACTGGTTGGACAGCTCAGCTGTCTCATGAGCTCTGGGTCTGCCCTCTAACTTTTTAGTATTCTTACTCAGGTGAGGTCCTAGTAGACCCTTCTGCTGCCTGCTTTGGGTTTGAGATGGGGTTTCACTATGTTGCATAGAAAGACTTTGGGCTCACACCATCCTCCTGCCTCACCTCAAGTAGCTGAAGGGCAGTGTGTGCCCTTGTCAGGCAGCACTTGCTTCTCCTATTAGCCTTGCCTTCTCCGTAGTCATCTTGCCCAGATTGGCACTGGGATTTGCTGTGTCTTGTTTCTTTGGCTCATGGGTCTTGACTGGTTTCTGCTTCGTTGCCTGTGTGAACCATGCTGTCGAGAAACTTTTTTTGTTTGTTTTTTTGAGACATGGTTTCTCTGTGTAACAGCACTGACTGTCCTGAAACTCATTCTGTAGACCAGGCTGGCCTCAAACTCACAGGAATCCACCTGCCTCAGCCTCCCGAGTGCTGTATTTAAAGGCTGCAGCAACCCCTGGCGAGGCTTCCTCTCTAAAATGACTGTAGTTCTCGTCAAGGTGACATAAACACTGACTAGTACAACTGTCCCCTTGTCAGCTTGACATCGACACACACAGGTTATTAAGCCGTAACCTTCCCTGCCTGTCCCCAGATCTCATATTAATGCCAGCATCACAATGGGTATCATTCCAAGCTGATTGGTTTTGATTCGCTGAGACCAGGTTTCTCTGTAGATCAGGCCACCTCTGCCTTCCAGGTGCTGGGATTAAAGGCAAGTGCCTGGCACGTTCCAATTCTAGTCCCGCAGCTGGGCCGCCCGCGTCAATCATCATTCAAGATGTTCCGCAGCTGTAGCACTCAACCTATCGGTCGAGACCTAAGACCATCGGCAGGTGTAGATATTTACATTATAATTCATAATAGTAGCAAAATTACAGTTATGAAGTAGGAACAAAAACGTTATAGTTGGGGTCAGCACAACATGAGGAACTGTATTAAAGGATCTCGGCGTTAGGAAGGTCAAGAGCCACTGCTCTACAACCTTGCCTACAGGCCAGTCTAATGGAGGCATTTTCTCAGTTGAGAGCTGCTCTTCCCGAACGTCTCCAGCCGGTGTCCAGTTGACATAAAATAGACAGAGGGTTGCTCTTGGGCCACACTTCCAGATGCTCTAGTGTGTTGCCAAGTGCTGCTGTGTTTCCCTCAGTTATCAGGAGACTGTCAGGAGAACTGCGTGGTAGTCGCTGTGGCTCCTGGTGTTGTAAATACGGGAGCTGGGTTTGTGTGGAGCTGATGAAATGGGGCTGAGCCTGGGCGGTGTGTGGCCGGCACACTGTGTTTGGGGACAGTGCAGGAAGGGCTGTCCCATGTCTTGTGTGTTTTCTTCTGCTGCTGAAAGACAGGCTGAGAACTCATCGTAGGGTCCCTGAATTTACAGTGCCACAGCTTCCCTGGGGCCTGCAGTTCCATGGCAAGCCAGGTAGCATCCTGCTGCCCAGGCCGGAACACCGAGGCTCAAAGGCCAGGTGACCCTTGTTTGTTTCCCTTCTCTCCCCTTTCTTCCCCTCCCCTCCCCATCTCTATCCTTCCTTCCTCTCCCCTTTCTGTAGTGCAAGGCTCCCCTGCCCTTTTGTCATTGCTAAGCATGCAGTCAGTAAGTCCTGTTTTAGGACACTGACCCTTGTGACCCTTGAAATCATTCTGGAAGGGCTGTAGCTGTCCTGCACCTGACTGTTCTGGGCATTTGACAGACCTGTGAGTCCTGGACCCCAGAGCCACTGTGCTCAGGGCTGGCTGCTTTTTCTTGGAGGAGCAGCTAACCAGGATAGGGGTTCTCTGGCCTTCAGGTCTCTATGGTAACTGCCCCACACTGGTGTTCCCCAGTGTGAGCGACTTTCTGCATGGTCTCTGCCTTATGTTCTGCCTCTCCACTTGCCTTCTCTCTGAAGAGATTTCTTAAAGTCTGCAAATTTACCCTAAACTCACAAGTCCCAGCTGGCCTCATTTTCCAGGCTCCGCAGCAGCCGTGGCTGCAGCGGTACTCTTTTTGAGGCCGTTCCTTACTGTGGCCACTAGATGGGGGCCGTTGACAAGTACCAACCCTGGCTGAGCCCTTTAAAGTGCCTCACTAGGCAGTTCTGACATGGTGTAGCTGTCAGAGCAGGGCTGGGAAAACCGAAACTTCCCTTCAAGAGATGGTCCCTGCTTCCTTCACTGTCTGTAAATGGGAAGCTTCTGCTACGCTCCACCTGCTTACTTAAGCGGATGGGCTGAGTTTGGAGTGGGGTAGGAAGGCACTCCTCCTGAGGGCTCGGTGAACCCCGAATGCCCCGAGCTCTTCATTCTAGGCAGAAACAGTAGGCATGAAGCAATGCCCAAGCATCTCATGCTGATGCTGTGCTGGTGGTTAGCTGGGTGTGGAGGTCCAGGATCAGCGCCTGTGCGCCTGCTCCTCACCATCAGCTGTGTGCCTGCGCACTTGATCCTTCGCGGGAGCCCTTGCCCTGGAGGCCTCCTGCACTCTGCTGCCTTTGAAAGTCCCCACTTCATCTCCTCCCCTAAAGGTTCTGTCCCAGACTTTCCCTTGTGCTGACACCGCAGACCCGATAGCCTAGGCACAGGGTCTCCATGGGTGCCTGAGAGTGGGGTCCTCTGCACTGTGCACGCTGGTCAGCACCACCAGGAGCAGTGTTGGTTTAGAGCCCTTCGGCAGTGGGACTGAATCAAGGAACTTTCACCCTGGCCTGAAACCTGCGTCTGTGCTGTGTGCTCTGGTCAGAACAGAAGAGGCCCCAAGTGCTTTCAACAGCAGATGTTAAACAAAAGGACAAAGTTGCTAGCTGGTGCTGGAGGGGGTGTGGAGGTGCCGGAGGGGTGCGGAGGTGCCGGAGGGGTGCGGAGGTGCTGGAGGGGTGCGGAGCTGCTGTGACAGGCAGACCCCAGCTGTGGAGGTCAGCCGGCCTGCTCCAGGCCCACACTGAGTCAAGGCCCAAGGGTGGCCGGGTGATGGGAACACACCTAGGCCCACGGACAGGAAGCTCTGGGTTGTAGGTGAGGGCTAGAAGATGAGTAAGGACGGCCTGGAGGGAGCTGTGTCACATGGAGCAGGTCCTGTTGTAGCAGAGACACAATGGGGAGGAGAGCTGGGGGGTCCCAGTGGGGGTACCCCACAGTGTCTTAGTTGCAGGTGGCAAGCAGAGGAAGAGAGCCTGGCTGCTGATGTCTGCCTCCCAGCTGCAGTCTTGTGTGGTCTGAGGCCGCAGAGGATGGGGGCTCTTCCTGTGGATCAGCCAGTTTGTGTTCTCATGGCGGCCAAGGCCCTGCTTCTGTCCCAGCACCCTGGCCTGATGCTGAGTCCCTGTGGCAAAGTGGGAAGTGGGGAAGTTCATCTCTGGTTCCCCTCAGAGCTGTCTCTCCCTCTTATGCGCATTACTGTCTTCTGCAGAGCTTGTGATAGCCTGCAGGCCTTAGGAGACAGCTGCTGCGCACGGGAAGACCAGACATGGCAGCCCCAGTGAGTGGATGGGCGTGCTGTCTAGCTAACATAACCTACAGCAACCGTATCTGTCCCCTGTAGGTCACTACAACTACTCAGAGAGCCGCGTGGAAAGGGATGGCCTGATCCTCACCAGCCGAGGGCCGGGGACTAGCTTCGAGTTTGCACTGGCCATTGTGGAGGCGCTCAGCGGCAAGGAGGTGGCTGACCAAGTGAAGGCACCACTTATTCTCAAAGACTAGAGCCCAAGCCCTGGACCCCAAGGTCGAGGCAGACCATTGGAAGCCAGTGCCTATCCTCGGCCCATACTGTGTCCAGAAGCCAGTGAGCCTCTGGAACTAGCGTGTGATGTAGCCACCACATGGGGATCCCACCCCGAAGCCTAGGTCTGTACATTTCTGAATGTTCCTAGTAGAATAAACAGTTTACCAACTCCTGGCAGCTGCTTTGTGTCTGGCTTTTGTGATATTACTGGATTCATTTGCAGGTGGACGCTGTTGGTACAGCCACAGAAGGAGCTGCCGAGCCCCTTCCCCAGCTGGGAGTGATGCCCGGGTAAGCCCCATGAGGCAGGGTTTCTCCCATCCCGGGGGCTCGTCCCTCAATGCTGTTAAGTGTCAGCAGAGGTGGGGATTCCCGGGGTTCCTGCATCCCCTCCTCTAGGGTGAGGTGAGAGCACCCATGCATTCCTAGGTATCACTCAGCTCCCACTCAGGAGGAAAACATGCTGAGGATGGGCCTCATCTGCAGTGACCACACAGCCCAGGCTAGACCAGTAGAGGGCAGCTCAGTTTGGGTTCTCGAGGTCTCCTGGGGTGGCCAAGAAAAAAACCAAGAGGGCGTGCTGACAGCCATCCTGTCACTAAAGAACACACCTGCCTTTCTCGAGATGCACTTGGACAGCTCCTGCTCTAGAAAGCAAGGCTGAAACTGCACTGTTGTTTTGTTTCAAGACAGGGCCTCTCGGTCCCGACTTCTTTGCTCATGTTCTCCCTCCTTCTGCTCCTCATTGGGACCTTGGGAGCTCAGTCCAGTGCTCCAGTGTGGGTCTGTCTCTGTCTCCATCCATCACCAGATGAAGGTTCTTAGCCAAGAGGATAAAGAAGTCGGGACCACGAGGCGTGCACCCACCCACTGAGACAGTGGAGCTGATCTACTGGGAGCTCACCAAGGCCAGCTGGACTGTGACCGAAAAAGCATGGGATAAAACCGGACTCTCTGAACATGGCGAACAATGAGGGCTGATGAGACGCCAAGGACAATGGCACGGGGTTTTGATCCTACTTAATGTGCTGGCTTTGTGGAAGCCTAGCCAGTTTGGATGTTCACCTTCCTAGATATGGACGGAGGGGGGAGGACCTAGGACTTACCACAGGGCAGGGAACCTGGACTGCTCTGTGGACTGGAGAGGGAGGGGGAGAGGAGTGGGGGGAGGGGAAAAAAAAGAGAAAAAAAAAAAACAAAAAAAAAAAGAAAAAAAAAAGACAGGGCCTCTCTGTGCAGTCCTGGCTGTCCTGGACCTAGCTCTGTAGACCAGGCTGGCCTTGAACTCCCAGGGATCCACCTGCCTCTGCCTTCCGCACATGAATGTTTTGATAAACACTAGGACAGGTAACAGAATGCTGAGGGAGAAACAACAGGAGGTTTCGTTTACATGCTGGGGTGACTTAAAGACCAAACTTTTTTTTTTTTTTTTTTTTTTTGGTTTTTCTAGACAGGGTTTCTCTGTGGTTTTGGAGCCTGTCCTGGAACTAGCTCTTGTAGACCAGGCTGGTCTCGAACTCACAGAGATCCGCCTGCCTCTGCCTCCCGAGTGCTGGGATTAAAGGCGTGCGGCTGGGTTATGGCAGTCAGACACTGGTGTGAGCCTAGTACTAGGAAGGCTGAGGCAGGAGGATCACCACAAGCTCAAAGCTCTCCCTTTCCCATCAGCTCCTTGTCTACCAAAGACTAGTATATGTCAAGCCCTGTCACTGGTCCTGGGAGCCAGTCCAGGGGCCCTGTCCTTACAGAGCCTAGTTGGGGCGGGAGGGGGGCAGATGAGAGGATACGCAGGTGTGTCCTGTGGTCAAAATGAAGTTGCCTGCCTGCTAGCAAAGGCCTCTCTGATAAGGGCTCTTAGGGAGATCTGAAAAGGCAGGTCTCTGCTGAGGCTTCAAGCATAAAAGAAAAAGCCCAAAGGCCTGAGGCAGGTGCTTGCTCTGGGTGTGGGGAAGCAGGACAGGCAAGATGAGTGCTGGAAGCTGAAGAGGCCGCAGCCAGTGGAGGTGACCCGGTTGCCAGGGTCACCACAGGCTGTCAGAGTCAGCAGGATCTGGCCACCCATGCTGAGGCAAGCTAGTGGCAGAGGAGGGTGTTCAGAGACGGGATGGGGCAGGAAGGCAGTGGGAAGCAGTGCTCACATTTTTGATTTGAACAAATGTAAAGAGGTAAAATCCGTGGCGCTGACTTTAGGACTCAGGAGCTGGTAAAGGAGATGGCAGGGCTGGGTGAATTGGAGTTTCAGCTTGAATTTGAGGTGCCTGTATAATACACTTGATATGGCAAGGAAAACCAAAGACCAGAGGTGGTTTGTGACCAGCCTAGGTCGTATAGTTCCAGACCAGCCTGGGCTAGACCGAGACCCTTGTCTTAGGACACCTCAAACTGTTCTCTGCTATAATCACTGTTGGTTGTGACCTCCACACTGCAGCACACAACCTGGCTATGCTCTGGAGCAGCTGCAGGCCACCGGGCAAAGCCCGCCCTGAAAGAAGGCTTTAGAGGAGGTTGTATCAGCCTGCACATCTGGAGTGAAGGTTTCTCCCTCTGAGTGTCGAGTGGGGGCTCCAGGAAGCTGTCTCATCAAGCTCTCAGGTCTGGCTAGTTGTAGCCTGTTAGCACTGGGGATGATAAGATTCTAGCCCTTGGGCTGCTCTGCCTGCCATGCTTGTCCAGCCTGCTCCTCACTAACAGGTGTCTGGGGACCCGGAACTGGGGGTGGCTGGGGTGGGGTGGGCTGTACATATGGAAAGGTGGCCTGGGGTTAGGCATGGGGTGTAGCCAGTTAGTGGGCTGTCTCTTCCGCAGTCTGGGCTCACTCACAGTGACTTCACCTTGGGGTGTACGTGTGTAAGTGAATGCCATTTCCTTTTTTTTTTTTTTTTAAGTTTTTTCATCTCAAAAGAGTGCTCTATAGCTACCACTGAGGGCTGCTGAGGGGCAGGGTCAACCCTCCTTTTCTGGGTACAAAGTGGTACCCCAAAGAGGACTAGGCTAACAGCACTTTTTTACCCAGCACAACAGTGGGCACTTCTGTTGGGAGTGGCCTTGATACCTACAATTTCTTCCTCTTGTGGTTTTGTAAAGGCAGCTCACAATGCCCCTGCCTCAGCCTGAGTACCGGTGTGCCTCACCATGCTTGAGTTTTCTTTCCTAGTTTGCACAGAATAGATACCACACAGTTCTGCTTTTTCTCTCTGCTTTTTTCATTGACTAAAACCCAGGGAGGGAGTTGGGGGTGGGTAACTGTTAGTAGAAAGCCCACTCCCATGCACGAAACCCAGGTTTGATTCCCACAACACAAAACATACAAGGGTGGTGTACACCCCTAACTCCAGGGTGGTGCACACCCCTAACTCCAGGGTGGTGCACACCCTAACTCCAGGGTGGTGCACACCCCTAACTCCAGGGTGGTGTACACACAACTCTAATCCAGGGTACCCTCTGCCCTGGTGTGTCCTAAGTGTCCGAAGCCACAGGATGCCGTGAAGCACATTTAGTGCATAGCCAGCTGTGTCATCCTGGAGTCTGGGCCCTCCGTCCATGTTCTACTGATGCCTCACGGAGGATAGAGGGGAATATTAACTCCTGAAGCCCGTTCTGCCAAAGCCTCTGGGTGGTTTTAGGAAGGATCTCATCTCTGCTTTGGTGAGTGGGCAGCAGCTGGGCCCCAGTCCCCGAGGAGCAGGAACTGGTCGGGCTCATACAGCCTGTGGTGCAGATCAGCTCCTTCCCTTGAACTCCCGCATGGGACCAGAGGGTGAGGGCCGAGGGCAGGAGCTCACCTGGGCCCTGCAGGTACCGTTCCTGGTCTCCAGTGTGCTCTTGGCACAGAGCCCTGAAGTGTCTTGAACAAACAGTACTGACAAGAGCTTCAGCGCTGGGAAGGAAGTGTTTGGGAGTTGACGGAAGCTTCACCATCTCCGCTGTATTCACGAGCTCTTCTGTCAACTTGACCCAAGCTAGAGTCATTTTGGAAGAGGGGACTTTGGTTGAGAAAATGTCCCCAGCAGACCGGCCTGTGCTGCATTTTCCTGATTGATGATTGATACAGGAGGACTCAGCTGGTGTGGGTGGTGCCAACCGTGGGCTGATGGTCCCGGGTGTTATAAGAAAGCAGACTGGGCAGGCCAGAAAACAGTACTCCCCCATGGCCTTTGAATCAGCTCCTGCCTCCAGCTCCCTTCCCTGCTAGAGTCCCTGCCCTGACTTCCTTCAATGATGGACTAGGCTGTGGAACTGTGAGCTAAATCAACTCTTTCCTCAAGTTGCTTTTGATCATGGTGTTTTATCACAGCAGTAGAAACCCAAGCATAAACAAATTGGTTGTAGAATATTGCTGTGACAGACCTGACTGTGTTTTGGGAAGATTGTGGAAAGATTTTGCAACTTTGGCCTGGAAGAGCCACTGAGTGCCTAGATCTCACCAGGCCATTCTGGGCAGGGGGCTTGGCGGATTAAAGGGCCCTGTCGGGAGCAGTGCAGATGATGGAGGCCTGGCTTGGGAAGTTCCAGAGGGATGTTTGAGAGTTGCTTAAAGACTATCCAGGCCATTGCATATCTTGAGTTAAGACTCTGTGGTTCTGGTCAGCTGGGGCTGAAGAATGAGTCACGATTAGCAAGATAGCAGCGCCACTGGGGCGAAACACCTGGCACGGGTCAGCTGGAGCCGAGGAGCTCGCGATGACTGAGAAGAGACCAGCATCGTGGGGGATCGGGAATCTGGAAGCCCTTCCTCAGGGTCAGCACACAGAAGCTGTGGTCCAGAGGGGGCCAAGGCTGCAGCTCATGCTGGCAAATGGGCTTAGTAATGCGTGAAGTCAGCCGGGCGGTGGTGGCGCACGCCTTTAATCCCAGCACTTGGGAGGCAGAGGCAGGCGGATCTCTGTGAGTTCGAGGCCAGCCTGGTCTACAAGAGCTAGTTCCAGGACAGGAACCAAAAGCTACGGAGAAACCCTGTCTCAAAAAAAAAAAAAAAGTAATGCGTGAAGTCGCCCCAGGTGGTACTGGTTTTGAAAGCATGAAGGGCCATGGGGAGCAACTGAGGCTTGGCGCTGTGTGGCAGCACTGGAGTCCCCAAAGAGAGTCCAGGAGAGGCTGTTGGTGAAGGTGCAGTCTGGTGGTGGTAGAAGCCCCAGGACTGAAAGGATCATAGAGAGAAGTGGAGACTTGGAGCCATG